TTTTATATATAAATAGATTGAAATAAATCAGACAATTATTTTTTATTATATAAAATTAATATTATAAAACGAAGAGTTCGCTACGTAGGAATAAACAGTTTCGCTTAATTAAGTTTACCTGTTTGATAATAAATTAACTATTCTCTTTTCTTAAACCTACATTCCAATTTGAGTTCAGCATTAATAATTGCTTCCGAGAGAACCCAAGAGTAAATACAATTTCGATGTAATGAGGGTGAATATATATACATGAGTATATTTATTGAGCCGTTTGGGCTTTTTGAATTCAAGTGTTTATTTTTGTTTCTCGGCACCGTAGCATTTACATACATTAGGTATGTCCATTAATATATAACTATATACTTTGGATTCTAACGCAGGAATCGGGAAAGCCGTTTCAGCACAAATTCATCTTCGTAGAAGACGAATAAACACAATACGCTTTCGTCATGTCTTATAAAGGTAGGTCTAATAAAACGGTTGATTCATTCTCCTCGAAAACTCATCCTATAACAGCTCTTCAACCGCCTCTGAATGCTTTTCCTCGCTTTAGTTAGACACGAGTTCAAGTTCGAGAAACTCTGCTTTCTGTGTGAAAACTAATTATAAAATTCAATTATTTCTTTGCCCTACCGTATCCAAGTGGATTTCATTAGTTCGATTTTAGTCTTAAGTGAAGACCAACCATTTCAAAAGTTTAGGATAATCCGATTCTATTAAAATATCGACAATCACGTCTCTTATGGTTCAATTGAATTCATTAGCACAGTAAACGGAAATTCATAAAAGTTCTTTCAGAGTAGGTAACATTTACTAAATATTTGATGGCTGAAACTGATAAATATTGAAACGACTTATTTATGATGAATTGAATTAAAAAATCACTTCGTGTCAATATGTTTTTATTGCAGAAACACAAGAACTGTTACGAGAATTATTTAATAAATGCCTAACACACAATTTAAAATCAACTATTAATCAGTGCCACATAGAAAATTTAGGTCTTGAAATAGAAAGAGAAAATAGTTTAGGAAATAA